CTGTGTGTATCTGGACTATCCTGTCCCTGACCATACATCTGTACTGGTCCAATTCATTAAACAAAGGCATTGCACAGCCAAAATATTCCTCTGTTAAAGTGTATTTAGAAGCAGTCCTCATGGAAAAGGAAAAATCACTTTTTTCATTGTTCTTATTTCATTTTTGGAATATAAAGCGATTTTAGGATTGGAAGCATGAAAGTTACTTTTCAAATGCTCTGAGCATAGCTTTTGCTAGTCATTTTCTTCCACTTTCTCTTTTTCTACCACTTTCTCTTTTTCTACCTTCCTTCCTGGAATGACTGTAGAGTAGGTGTGTATGTCTGTGCCAAGAATCATCTCCTTGACTCTCTTAAGCCTCTTAACTTTCTCTGATACATATATCAGACATGGGATGGACTCAAGCTTGTGTCTTGTTTAAACAGGCAACATTGGCTTTGTTCAGAAAGCCATCTGATAAAAATGGACAAATTTATGGCACTGCTTTCATTGCTTTGTGTACTTCTAAGTTGTTACAGAAGCCATGTCCCAGAGTGGCACTAGAAGACTATGTCCTCGTAAGGGACAGCTCTCTGTCGGTCATGACCTCATTTGGAGTTGGGGGTGTGGGTTTCAATCAGTATTTTGGTATATCCTGAAGAGCCCTCAAGTCAGTTTGAGATTGCTGGTAAAATGAGACTATGAGATAGAAAGTGTTATGCAGATGATGGGTCCTACTGCTGACAGATAGCTTCCTCAGTGAAACATGAAAACATTTCTTCTCTGGCTTGCAGCAGGTGACTCTTTAAGAAACTAGTCCTTGAAGCTCATATACTTAAAACTGTAGAATCAAATGGGTTTTTGTCCTAGACCTTTTACTTGCCTTCCTTTTTTAATGGTAGATTGCGAGGTAGGATCACAAACATATGAAAAAAAAGCCTCACTGAAAGCACTGGTGGCAAGTCAGACCAGAATTGGCACAAGCATCTTCTTCTTTGCCGAGCAGTTTTAACAGTTGGGAAGAATGTGTTTCATCTGTCCTGGAAAACTGCACTGAAGCATCTGTTAATTTCATTAAACCACAAAGATTCATAGGTTATGAGGCCAGAAAGAGCCATTATGATAATCTAGGCTGATTTGCTATATAATTAATTCCTGTCTCACTATGTCTTTTAGAGAAAACAAGATATTATTTTAATTTAAAGTTTGCCAGTAGCAGAGAACACACCATAACCTGTAGTAAATTATTTCAATAGCAAATTACCCTCATGTAAAAATAAGTAATAATATTTTAAAAAGTGAATTTCTCTAACTTCAATTTCTAGCCCCCGGATCCCATTATTCCTTTGTCACATGGATTGAAGAGCCCTCTATTGTCAAATTCCATTTTCTGCACAGGTACTCATAGATTGTAATCAAATCACCCTTTAACCTCTACCTATTAAACAGACTGAATTTAAATGTTCTTCACTATAGGACATGCATTCCAGTCGTTTAATTATATTCCCTTTTCTCATTCTTTAACCTTTGGTTTAACAATTGAACTGCGGCTATCAGAAGCTGTCTGAGCATTTCATTGCCCAAGCCATAGGTACTGTGTTGTCTCTCTATTCCTGCTCAGGAATCAGGAGTCCTGACTGAAGGGATTCCATAGGGAATTCTACATCATGATTCACCTTGGTTTTACACCCAAGTATTGTTTTTATCCTCTTGTTTATAGTGCTGAGTGGTCTAGTGGACCTGATTATACATCAAGATCTTGATGATGTCCAAATGTGCCTGTCAATGACACCTCAAGTTGACTGTGCAAACACTTGAACTTTTTCCTTAAACACATGTGCTTTTTAAATTTCTCAAGCTAGACTGAGAGTTTGTTGGGTTTTTTTTTAAAGAAAATAATGTAGAACAACAAACACTTGAACAATAGAGATTCAAATTGAGGTGAATCTGTTTCTTTGAAAAGATCAGATTCAGAACACTTGTATCTATTCAACATCCTTTCTCCTCTCTTCCCCAAGTCTTCCTTTGTGCTTGCTTTCTTGGTCCTTTCTTTCAAACTTGCTCTCAGATGCTCTATTGTTAGTGACTTTCTGGGTTATAACTAACTCCATGTGATGTCAAAATACTATAGGTTAGAAATTAACTCTTCCAGACTTAGGGAAATTGTAGGACCAGGATCTTAAAACAATATGCTATTGTATATATCTGTCTAAAGCAGAAGTTTAAAGTGCTGAATTACTTAATCAGCAACCCATGAAGAACAGCCTGAAACTGACAAAACAAAGCAGTAGGTAGGGGAAAGGTAATTCTGACAGGGGAAGATTGGGACCACTGACTCATTGACCATCTACCCAAATGATACCATCTACTCAAAAGAGAACTATAGAAGTAGGAAACTGAGCATGTGTTCTAGTTTGCATTCTAGGTGAAGACATTTTAACCAATCATTTATCAGAACAGCAATGTATATGTATTAGGAAGATGAATATGTTAATGTTTTATGTATAAATAACCATCAATTTGGAACTTTGTCTTGGGACAGGCACCCATATATATGTATATATGTAATAAAAGGAAATACCTCTACTCTGTGTGTGGATTGGCATATTGCACACTGGGTGAACGAACTCCAGGTTTTGGGACAACACATGTAATGTTCTCTAGGTCCTTTGAAAGTCTTCCCAGAGGCAGACCCTCTGCGTTTCCCCAGAAGTTCACTACCCTCTATGTAAATAAGTGCTTCTAAAAATCCATTTTCAACTGATATCCTACAAGTTTCAGCAAGTGCCTCCACTTCTGTTATAGCTGGATTTGGCAAAGAGCAGTTCTACATTAACCTTCTCCATCTTCTGTAAACTTCAGTCGTATTTTTTCTCGATCCTCTCCAAATATGAGACCCCTGGCCTTTTCAGGCTATCCTCGTAAAGTATCCTGCTCTGTCCTCTTAATTGTTCTATTTATTTTTCTCTATACCTTTAGCTCCTCTGTTTCTTTGACATGCAGAGACAGGACTGCATGCAGTACTCAGAACTAATGTTTGTGGAACGCACTGGACTTGTTGCACACAGAAAGTACGTGCAGAAATCCTGGGCAGTCCAGTTAGAGGCAGGTGCATGGAGTCCACCTCGCACTTATCACGTGTGCCTTTCCTGGATGCAAAGGTAGCTGCAGCTCGTCTCTGCTGTCTGACTGAGGTGCGCCTCCTTGTCTGGCAAGAGGGAGAGGCTGTAACGCACAGCCGTGCTGAGTCACTGGAAGGAGGTGTATGGTCTGTCTAGCGAGAGCATTTGACATGGTTAATCCATAGAATGAAACTACTACAGTCCCACAAATTGAAACTATATTTTATCCCTGTTGCAGATATTAATAGATTGAATGTTTTTGGAGTCTGTGCCAGGGCGGAGAGAGTGCTCTAGTGGGAACCGGAGCAAAACAAGCTGTTGTGGGTCAATACTGTCCTCTGCTGGGAGGAACTACAGCTTTGTGCCATGAGTCCAAATGGGAATTAACAGCTGGCTTCTTTTGCTCTGATGTAGGGTGTTTTGCCTTTGCAACAGGAATGTTTTATGCTGTGCTGTCTGCACTGGGAAAATTCTCCTTTAATGCTTAGTGAAAGCTGGAAATTCTTCACTTGCTACAAATGTGCTGAATTGTGATTTCATTTATTTTTCATCCTGAGGTCACCTACTTTAGAAGCTTATCCCTCTTTCACTCCCTTGTTTGCCTTTTAATAATTACTGCGCGCTTGTTTCTCTGACTTTCCTGTCCTATTTGTAGAATAAACAATGCATATCTCCTTTCCCTTCTCACTTCATAGGAAATTGCTGATAATTCATCCTGCAAGCATTTTGAAAGCAGAAATCAAATATATATATGTACGTATATGCTATACATAACAGACACAAAGTATTTTAAAATAACTCCTTGGAAAAAATTGGAGTCTTCAGTAGTGTTGCAGAACATGAATTCAATTGAAATTGTGCTAGTTGCAGAAATGCTTTTGCTTGATGTATGTGCCAGCTCTGGGTTGAGGAACCATGGAAGGTGGTTGAGAGGAAGTACAGTTTACAAAAGTTTCAGGTTTGTGCCTTCTGCAGTCTCTGCCTCTGTGAGAACGGCACGGAGCAGAGAGGAGTCGTCTTTGCAAGGAATTAATTCTATGCCTGTGAGAAAGAGAAGAGCAGGAGTTCTGGGCTTCTGAGCAAGCCAGGCATGCTCTGGAGTGCTTGTCTGTTTGAGACTCTTGGCTATTTTCCATCCATATAGCAACATAGAGTCCAGAGTCCTGGTCCTTAACCCAGAGAGCATAAGAGGCCAGGTACTAAATATGTACAGGCTTTTATATGTTATCCCATAGAGTGTAGGTTTCTTGAAGGAAGGGTAAGCTATGCGGATATCTCTGTAGTAAGTTTGTGCCTGTAGCAATCTAAGATTTCTTAGTCAGAGAATCTTTAAGTCTTTGTTTATTTTTCTCTTCTCACTCTTTAGGAGCCACAGGGTAATCACCAACAGTTCACAGCAACTTGCTTAAATTTTTTTGCATCTCTCTCGTAGTAGTTAAGTGGGCTTATAGGAATAATAAAGAAATGACAGTGGTGGTACAGAGTTCCCTGCTGTGGCTAGCAGAGATGGACACGGACGTTACACATTGTTATGTATTTTGTATGGGATTTATGCAAATATAACAGCGTGGTACCAGACGCACACTGTATTTTATGTACAAAAGATTTTACAGCAGAGTGGGCCTCTGGTAGAGTTAATTGTTCTCACTGTCCTTCAGTTAAATGTTCTCTTCTGCCTGGTTATCTGATCTATAGTCGTCGCAAAGTCCTGTTGCTGTCATTTCTATAAACACTCCTGGTTGTGCTCTGTCCCTCTATCATGATGTCAGACTCTTGCGTGGTCTCCTTTCTGCTGCCCACTGCCTTTTGGAAGAAGTTTATCTCCCACGGCTGAAAGTAATTGAGGTATTTGTACTGTATGCAAGATTGATGTATGATATTTTTCCTTGTGTCTGGCAGGTTGTTTATAAGAATAACGACATTCGTCTGGAGCTGTCTCGCTTGGCACGGATTGGTGATACCAAGATGAAGATCTACGGGGAAGTGAAATTTGTATGTGAGAATGTGGCTACACTGGACCCCATCAGCTTTGAAACACCTGAGGCCTACATTAGTCTGCCTAAATGGAATACCAAAAGGATGGGCTCCATCTCGTTTGATTTCCGAACCACTGAACCCAATGGACTGATTCTTTTCACCCATGGCAAGCCTCAGGAGAGGAAAGATGCCAGAAGCCAGAAAAATACAAAGGTAGACTTCTTTGCAGTTGAGCTTCTAGATGGGAACCTTTACTTGCTTCTGGACATGGGCTCTGGGACCATTAAAGTCAAGGCCACCCAGAAGAAAGCCAACGATGGAGAGTGGTATCATGTAGATATTCAACGAGACGGAAGATCAGGTAGAGCAATGACTTTTTCTTAAGTATATTAATTTTTCAGATTCAGACCTAGGGCTGTGTATTAATTCTCAGAACCTTCAAAACCTGCTAGATATGAGTGAACTTCTTAAAAAAAATACTTAATGTTACTCCAGTGATGTTTATCCAGCAAAGCAAAGACGTGAATGGCTAGCTTTTCATTAAATGTTTAGTGTGAACTTCGGATAGCACATCACAGAGGCAGTCTATTAATATTTTATTCACAATCTTCAGATACTCTGGACCTATCTTTGCAATTACATGCATAATTATGGTGATGACTTCTTTGTAGACCACAGTAAGGTTTAAGATCCTTCATAACCATTATTGCTTGGTTACTGGTTTGAGAAATCCTCATTGATTTACTTCGGGTTTCTGTTCAAAAAGATACTCAGTAGAAACCAAATGAAAACTTATTGCTGTGACCTAATATTACCATGTTCTTGTGGATCTTGTGTCTTTTAAGAGCAAGGGTTTAGGATCTTGTCATGGGGAAAATAAAAGTAATGGGCACAACCAGTGACAAAGTTATGGCAACAAATCAACGTTTTCATCCTATTCTGTTTCCTTTAGTGTCTTGTAGTTTTCAGTTAGTTTTCTCTACTGTCTCTTGGATGCCAAATTATAGTCTTAATATCTGAGTCAGCATTCAGTGGATTTTCCCTTTTTTTTTCCTCGCAGCTTCTCATTTTCAAAAATTTGGTTTAGTTTATTTCTAATGATATACCTACTGTGCAATTACCAAGAAGTATTTTATTTTTTTCTAGTGCTGGATATCAAGCTAAACATACTCATGATGTACTCTGAAATTGTACAAGGAAACAAAATGATCAAATACTGTAACTTCATCTTGAGAATATGTGAACAATTGTACTCGAATTCTTCCTGAACTGTTGGCATCTCAAAGCCTGGCCGTATATCCTTTCAAAGGGAATATTGCTTAAATTTGCAAGTGGATTTGAGATTTGTCTGGTGATCTCCAGATGATAGCTTTAGGTCCCTAATTTTATGTTTCCAGTTCCTGAATGCCATCAGTAGAGAGAACACAGTGCTAGAATTTGCTTCCCTTGAGTTTTCAAAAGAGCTGACTTTTGGATACCATGCAAAGCCTAGCTGTTTGAACAGGTCTTTGCCTGAAGCTAGTTTTTTCTTTGATGATGTGAGGAGTTTCTTTGTATTTGGCATGGTGCTCTACTAGGACTTAATATGTGTGGTTATATATTGTTATCTCCTAAAGACATCGATAGGAACATTTTATAAAGGAAGCCATAAATAAATAAATGGAGCTTTGATTTCTTTTGAATTGCTAAAATTTAATTAACTTCCAAGGATAAACTCAATTAGTTGCATTCAGCACTGCCTTCAGTTTTGCTTGCTCACTTGGAGACTGTCTGGTCCCTGGAGAGACAGCTGCAGGAGGCGAAGAAACAGAAATGACACTGAGCTCTCTGTTAAGAAAGTCCATAAAAACCTAGGAAGAAGAATTCATGTTCATTTGGACTAGGAGAATGCGACAGAAGGCATTGCTACTTGGTGGATGAGACTGTAGGACTGGCTTGTTTGTCACTTGGCAGGAAGGTTTGTGGTGTTCTGGACGCTGATTAAAGATAACAGACTTTGAATTGGAAGCACTTTGCTCTTGTTGATGCTCTTTTTAATTGCGATTTCTGCTGAGGAGTACTGGGTTAATGGTCCTAGTGACTAGTGTCTTGTCTCCTTGGAAAACCAGGACACTGGCGTTTATTTCTTCACACCATACCTTTAGCAAGCATCAACCACTCTTATCCAGTGATCGTTTTGGTAGGTGTGAGTAGCAAGTTCAGGATGTCCTCTTGTTTAGTCTGTGGCTTTTCTCCCACATGTGGACCAGAGAATAGTTACTCCTTGGAGATTTTTTAATTTATTTTTTTTTTTAAATGTAGGTGCCTGTCATCTAGAAACTGAACTGGAATAATGAACTTATTAGGTGCCATCCTTCATCCCATTTCTGTAACAGTCAAAACTTCAGGCTCTGCTGAGCTTAGTAAAATAGCCTAAAAATCCGCATATTCACTACTGCAACATACTAATGCAGGAGTGCAAATGCTGGGGAAGTGTGGCAGTTGTGCTCAACTCATCTCTGGCACCTCTGGTCCCCTTAGGCTTTGTGTATGCTTTGGTCTGTGTTGACTGCCAGAGCAACAAAAGCTGTTTTTTCTCTCTACTCTGACAGAAGCTGACAGTGTGGACATGGACACCTAGTGTTCTGTAACCTTTGTGTCCTTGAGGAAAGCTCCTATGAAGTGTCCACAAAACCTGTCACAGTTTCTGGCTGGGGAACACTGAGCATGTTACTCAAGACAATGTTTTTGGCTGGTCATTGACTACAAAACACACAAGTTGTCCCACCCACTCAGGCACTAAAAATTTTACTGGAAGGTTTTGGTCTATGGTTACATCAGTGCACTGCTTTGTATGCCAGCTGTGCCCTCAGTAACTGGAGTCTTTTGGTCTGTTTGTTCTCTAGCCCTGTATGAAGGGCCTAAGGGACTGGCAAGGAGATACTGAGATGCTTCTGATCTCTCAAGATGGGATTTGATCTACCTAAATAGAGTTGCAAATATGGGATTGGGGGGTGGGGGGGTGAGGGGAAGGATGTCAGCTCATGTGACTGCTTCTTCAATTCAGAATTTCTCCATCTCAGCAGCTTGGTCTTAAAAGTGCTGTGCATCTGAGCTAGTACCATCTCCTTACAAGAATAGTTGCAGGGTACAAAGCACTTGCAGAAAGTTTAGGGTGCTGTCTAGCCTTTTTCCTTTTATCATCTCATACTCTTTCTCCAGGTTTTACACTTCTCCTTGGCATCCAGTATTTCTCCTCTTTTGGGCTGTTTCTTTACCTTTGTGGCTTTTTGCAGGTTGTGTTGTTTCCTCCATAGTAGTAGCTGTCTGGAGGTCAGCCCTCCAGCATTTTGGGTTGTTCTAGTCTTTTGAGTAATATATACTTCACATGCTACTTTTGAGGTGTAACAGCAGAGATGGTGGAAGGGGGGCTGTGATCCCGTGGCTCCGTGACATGCTGCGTTTTACGACTATAGGTGTATTGTCACATCTTCTCTTTCTTACTTTGTAAAAGGGAAAATGTCTGCTGTGCTGCAGCTTATTTTTACAAAATGATTCATCAAATAACCCTGGTTCTCTTTCAGCCTTTAATTTGTAATGCCTCTGTTGCTTCTGGCACTCTGCTGCCTCTGACTTTATTCCTAAATCATTACTGAACATCACACACATGAAATACCTTGTGTCTGTGTCATACGTGCTGTTCTCTAAGACACCTGTTACAACTGAAGAAGAAGCACGAGTACACTACTGCACTTTCTCACAGAGACACAAAATAGAGCTAACTCTGTTAACTAAACTCTCCCACCTTATCGCAGGGGTGTATGATAAAAGTGCAGTGGTGTGGAAGTAATCTTAAAGCTTGGATAGTTGTCTCTGAGGACAGACTATCTTAATGACAAGGCAATTGGATGCAATGATTTATGGCTAGGGAGAGTGAATTGCTGATTTTCAGTTGAGTGTCTGGTGGGCAGATGTCCCTGTCACAAAAGCTACTGAATGTTCTTCTGAAAAGTACGCTGCTCTGGGATGTGAGACCTGCATTATGTTCCTTGTTTTTCTTTGGATGCAGTGTCTGACCTTAAACAAGTCACTTCACTTCTCTGCACCTGTTTCATGTTTTCTGATTACATTTCTGTATTATACGTTCTGGGACAATTTCTTGAAATATATAGGAATGGCCTCACTGCACTATGCCCACATCTTGCTGGGAGTGTAAGGAAGCTACTATAGTTTTAATAATAATTGTTGTTCTTCAAAGATAACCTTTATCTTTCTCTACCTCAACTTTCCTGTTTGTAAAATGGAAGTTAAAATGCTTAACTTTCTTTGTAAAACCATAGAATAATTTATTTTGGAGCAAACTTCTGGAGATTTCTAGTTTGAACTCTGCTGAAATCTAAACTTTCTTCAGGGTCATGCCTAGTTGTGTTTTGAATACCTTCAGGGGAGGGTGATTCCACAACCTCTCTGAGGTTTCTGTTCCCACGTTTGACCATCCTCAATGGTGAACAATGTTCCTTTCTATGGGGTTGGAGCTTCCCTTGCTGCTACCTGTGATCAGTGTGTCTCAAGACTCCAAGTGCACACTGCTGACCCATGTTCAAATTATTGTCCACTGTATCCCCAGGTCTTTTTCTGCCGAGTTGTTCCATAGCCAGCTGGTCTTCAGCCTGTACTTATATGTGAGGTCATTCTGCCCAGATGTAGGACTTTGTATTTATTGTTGTTGATTTACATTAAACATTGCTATCAGTCCTTTGCTTCACCTTGTAAAGATTTCTCTGGGTGGTAGCCCTGTCTTTCCTCCAGTGCATCAACTGTTCTCCCCAATTTGATGTCATCTACAGACTTGATGAGGGTCTATTTAATTCCATCATCCAGGTCCAGATTTGGAGGTACTGATGAAATGTTTTCTGGAAGAGTTATGTAGTGTGATTTAATACACTTTTACTTATCTTCTTTCTCTGCAGTCCTGATACCATCAAACTCCTGTACCTTCTCAGTAAGTCTCTGCTTTGCTGGATGAATATCATTGAATAATCAGTTTTTACGTGTTGTCATTTAGCCATTGCATTGTTATGCTTGTGACCTTATAATGCAAGTTGGGATACAGACACATGATGATCAGTCACTGCATGGAAGTACTTGTGGCCTGCAGTTCAAGAGGAGAGGGAGCTGTGTGGGAGAACACTGTCTCTGCTAGGAGTACATTCGGTTAAGGAGAAATCTTTACTCTCCTGCGCTGAACCTTAAACCTCGCTCAGTTATTGGAATAAAAAATGAACTAGACTGAGGCTGTAAGTGAAAGTGTTGATGTCTCCTTACTCTCCTCGTTTAGGTACTATATCAGTCAACAGCAGACGCACCCCATTCACCGCTAGTGGGGAAAGTGAGATCCTAGATCTGGAAGGCGACATGTACCTTGGTGGGCTGCCAGAGAACCGGGCAGGACTCATCCTTCCCACAGAGCTCTGGACAGCAATGCTGAACTACGGCTACGTCGGCTGTATCCGAGACTTGTTCATCGACGGGCGAAGCAAGAACATCCGACAGCTGGCAGAGGCGCAGAATGCCGCGGGAGTCAAGTCCTGCTCCCGCCTCAGCACCAAGCAGTGCGACAGCTACCCATGCAAGAACAATGCAGTCTGCAAGGATGGCTGGAACCGCTTCATTTGTGACTGCACTGGCACCGGATATTGGGGTAGAACATGTGAGCGAGGTAAGCTGAGTTTTCTGACCTCACTTGTATGGACCTCAAGGTGTGCAGGAGAACTAGAACAGAATTCAGTGTTTCCGTGAGACTTTCCCCTACCCTTGCTGGTATTCCCAATGCTATGTTCCAGTCCCCACACTAGGAAAGCTTGCTTCTCTGATCATTTCCTCCTAGTCTTTTCTGCCTTCATTCCATGAGCTTACCTTCTTCGTCTGCCACTTTGCTCTCTAAGTTTTCTAAAGACCTTGTCTTCAGGTTCCAGAGTTTGTTTGACTAAGTGTGGTTTGTCTCTTAAGTCAGAAAATGCTGTTGCACGTGAAAAGTCTCAGTCAAATTACTGGAAATAGTACCAAGTGTGAACTTGGGTTATGGGGGCTTCTCTTGCATGGGAGAGATGATGTACCCCAGTTCTGTCTGGTCTTCCTCTTTTTTTGCATGGTAGGGTTTCCTTGATGACTGTTTATGGGTATAGCCAGCTAATGAAATCGTGTTAACAGCAGCATGTCTCCAAGTTCACCTCTGATAAGGCAGATCTGTGGGACATGGTGGGAGATTCTCTGCATCGTATTCTTATTCATTCTGACTGATGATTTAAAGACATATGATTGGAGACATGAGGCACAAGTAATGCTGGTACAGGCAGGCAGAATGTGTGTGTTCTGGGCCACATGGAAAGGAATTTACTAATGTAAGACATTTGAGCTACATCCTTCTCAAATACCGGGTAGTTCTAGTAATTGTTGTTATACTTATTGTGCTGGCGCCACCTTAAGAATGACATAGGTGAGTGTTTTGTTTTGTTTTGTTTTGTTTTGTTTTGTTTTGTTTTGTTTTTAAAAAGATAGGTGTAAGATCGCTTAGAAAAGAAAATACTCCCTAAAGGGTGTTTTCTTATATTGAAACCAATCTTTCTGTTAATATTTGGCCATTAACACTGCAGTCATACTGCACCCAATAATTAACTGTAAAGCATTAGCAGAGTCTTAGGGCTTTCAGCCCCTTCTTTGTATTACCTTACTTGGCATCATGGCCTAATGGTTATAGCATGTGTTTTAGAATTGGAAATTCTGGTATTTTTAAGCTTCTGCCATAAATATTTGAGAAGCTTCTTTCCTACTCAGTGTCCCCCCATTATGCGTTTTTTAATATTGATCATAGTACCATGCCACTTATGAGAGAACATCGGTTACATACAACACATAAAATATTACTCAGAATTGAGACTTGTAATTCATTCACTCTCCAGAGGACTTTCTTCTTTGCAGGAAGTTTTTGTTAATAACCAAAATTCTTCCTATAGACTGGATGAGGTTTTTAGGTTTTACAGCACAAGATCTATGAACATTCATAAAGCTTCTCACAGCCAGCAATTTGTAGCATGCTGCCCTAAGCAGCAATGGGAGTTAATTGCCAGTGGTCCTTAAAACAGCTGAAGCATCAACACTGCTATAGTGCTGTGAGGACATGAGTGAAAGTGTAAGATTCATCGGAATTGGCTATGCCAATGTCAGCTCAGCAGTTCTCTCTTTAGGCTACATTGAATTAGAAGAATCTGGAAAACATAAGGGATTTTCTCAACCACAGCTTTGTGAATTTTTTTTTGCCAACTGTTATGTGATTAAGTTTTGGACAGACTTGATAAAAAGAAACACTACTGTAAGTGCATTGTTCCTCCACAGAATTGCAGTCATGCATACCCTTGGTCTTTATTTAGTATTGGGAGTGACCAGCTCTGTGATTCAGGACTTTATGGATTCTGTCTCTTGCCTGTCTCATGGACCTGGCTCTCAGAAGACAGTTCGAAGCTAACCAATGACATAACAGAGTTCATCTCATGTACCTTTAGGTATCTATGGTGTTGGCTTTTACTTCTTTTATTATCAGTGAAGAGAAATCAGTAGGTTAAGGGCATGTAAGCATTTTAATTTAGGAGAAATGAATCTGAAGCCTAGCCTGAGATCCATAACTTGATCATTCTCTGCACAGCATCAGTATGCATGAGAGATACATATATGAATCTCTATCTACCAGCGTGGGAATTTGGGGTCCTAATAAATATATGTTAAAATCAGAGTGTATTTAAGGTTAATAAAACAGTGATGATGTAGTTAGGACAACAGAAAAGATGTGTGCAGATGTCCAAATCCTGAGAAACTAATTTTTGCTATAACTAGAAACTACAGACCCCTTATGCTTTAGGCCCAATGTCAGGCAAAATGTGGCTTTCATGCCTGAGGTTCCTTGGCAACAGGAGAAGCAGCTCACAGGGAATAAATATTTGTAGACTGGTTACACAAAAAAAGTTGTACAGATTGAAGTGTGTTTGACTCCACAACACGTATTGTGGTTTAACTCCAGCTGGTGACTGAGCCCCACTCAGCCGCTCATTCCCTCCCCGCTACTGGGATGGGGGAGAGCATCGGAATAGTAGAAGTGAGAAAACTCGTGGGTTGAGATAAAGACAGTTTAATAGGTAAAGCAAAAGCCGCACACACAAGCAAAGTAAAACAAGGAATCCATTCACTACTTCCCATCAGCAGGCAGGTGTTCAGCCATCTCCAGGAAAGCAGGGCGCCATCACAAGTAATGATTCCTTGGGAAGACAAAACGCCATCACTCCAAACATCCCCCCCTTCCTCCTTCTTCCCCCAGCTTTATATGCTAAGCATGATGTCATATAGTATGGAATATTCCTCTGGTCGGTTGGGGTCAGCTGTCACAGCTGTGTTCCCTCCCAGCTTCTTGTGCACCCCCAGCCTACTCGCACAAATCCAAAACACAGCCCCATACTAGCTACTATGAAGAAAATTAACTCTACCCCAGCCAAAACCAGCACATGGTGTTACATAGCAGCCTCATACTGCTCTGATACTTCTTGATATCGGGTGACTGTATTAGTCCACATTGTTGCCTTCATGAACAAAACAAAGTATTGCAGGCTACCAATGATACTTTTCATTTGCATGGTCTGACACCCAAGGGTTAATGCAAATCCTGACTTCAGCTGGCCTGTCACCCAAATACTATTGGAAGGAGAAAAGTTGAGACAGAGAGTGGGAAAGGAATCAAAGCGAGAGATGCTGCCATGTCACAGTGACACTTCTGCATAGTGACTTAAGAGCTGCCACAGGACTGGAGGGAGCCAGACTGGTGTGTAAGGGAAGGAATGAAGAAGCAGCAGGGTAGCTCTTTTAGTAAAAGACAGCTACTGACCCACTTTTCCAGTCTGCCATCTGTTATCTGAGAAGGGCTGTCTCACTCACTTTACTCGGTCCTTAGACTTCTGTCCTGTTAAAAGAGAGGAGTGTAACTCTTGGAAGGAGTTTGCAGCCCAAGATACAGGATAAAGGGTTAAGGGGCAGGGGAGCCTGGAATAAAGAATCTTCTATGCCTGTTGGCTACCAGGAAAATCACTGTTTATCACAAAGCAAAGCACATGCTTAACATTTAGTTAAGGTAGTAAAAATAAAAAAGACGTGTACAACTCCAGGGAGAGAAGCAAATGATTCATTTGTAGTTGATGGTGAAGTCTGTCTTCCACTTTCCAGGTATAGCATTTCTACACCTAAATGCTATGTTTCTCATACATTTTATACTTTGCCATATGAAGGACTGTTATATGTCTAAAAGGGACTTGAAAAGAAGATTGTCCTGTCAGTGAAGTAACACCGCTGTATATTCAGCAAGTTGCCCTGGTTGCAACATAGACTTTGGTTGCAGTGATCTGCTTAGGCAGTATCCCTGAGGAGATCGAGAAACCTTACTGTGGCTGCAGTTTGATAGGGCACAGAACAGAGAACTGCTGCCAAGGCCTCAAATTCATTCTTACAATTCCAGTATCTAATCAGTCATTCACTATTGGCAGTGATGTAAGCAGACGAAGGTATTTTCAGTCTTAGAGTGTCATATCTTTAAGGGTAATGTAGTCCCTCCTTGGGGTAATAATGTAGTCCCTACCTTGAGGTAAGGTCCCTCCTTAGTACTTCACCTAAACAGACTCTCTGCAGCCTTCATAAATTGCATAGAAGTGATGGAGTGAGAGATGGCGAAGACCAGTTCATGTCTGATATGCCTCCCACCCAAGGAAGGGTATGCCAGGGAGTCAAAAGTGCTGGTAGGATTGCTCTGGTTCTTTTGGTAACTGTATGTTTTTCCTGTACTAACTAGGAGAGAATGCTCTTGGGAGACAAATGGTGATGACTTCTATCAGGTATGCTTCAGTCAAATCCTTGCTGTAAAAACTAGAGTGAATGGACACCAGTATTTGATCCTCAGAAAGACTGAGACAAAAGTACTTCACCTAAACAGACTCTCTGCAGCTTTCATAAATTTCACTTGATCTGCTTGTGAGATTGTGTTTCTCTGCAGCTCTGTAGCCAGTGGCAGGTGACACAGAAGGGAAAGGAGATGAAAGTGCAATGGGATTCATGGGCCAGAAGTGCTCAATGCCAGGCTGTAAGGCCAAGCAAAGGCAGCAGCCAATTCTGGCAATTAACTAGATGTGATTTCCCTTCCACATCTTCCACCAGAGGCTGTGCTGACCAGGTAACACACCTGTCAGTTATTTATTGTCTTAAATCCTTGAGCTTCACATTCTTTATCATCTTTCCATAATGGTTCTCTACTACCCAGTCTAACTCAGTGTGACAATGTTGGAAATCACATGTAAGAACCACCTATTTGAGCCACTGTTAAAATTAAGGAGCTGCTGTAAACATAGAATCATTTGGACAAGTTTCTGAAACTTCATAGGCTCCACAGTCGCTGTTGGAAGGAAGCAGTGGTGGCTGTCCACCAGGCTAGGAAACAAGACTTTGCTGGCTTTGCAAGTGGCATGAACTCAGAGTAGTATTGTGACCTCCTCCTTTAGATGCCTTGGATAAATTCTCTGAGATTATATGAGTAGAAGCCTGTCAATGAGGACCTGTCTAAGTTCCCTGTGCAGTCAGTGGAGGGAAGTAGTTGCTTCTCAGGAGGAAAAGCAGTAACACCATCTGCTTGTCTCCTTTTGTTGATTTACCTGTCTACTTTTATTGATTATGTGGAGATTCTGGTCTGATAATTCAGTATTGCTGTACTCCAGAAG